ATACAATTATTTAACTGCAACTTTGAAAATGAGATGCTAAACATCTTTCAAAAAATTTTAGGTCACTAATGGATTTATCTTCAAAATATGTTTCCGATAATGATAACTGATAAAAAGAAAGAAATATCTGTTTCATTCTTACAATCAGCAATTTTAAAAAGATTTCAATAATTATTTTTTTTGCATTTTAAAGTTATAAAAAGTATATTGATTATTTTATATTTTAATTTAATAATAAATGAGAATATCTAGAAATAAATTGTAAAAAATTCAGCAACAAGTTGCATAAATTTTCTAGCTGTTATGAGATTTTATTTAAGAAATAACTTTTATATTACGAATTATAATAAATAGATTAACCACTTCATCTGCTTCCACAACAGGTAGAGGACAAAGAGAAACATAAGACGATCCGGCATAATATCAGGATATGATTAATTTTACCGTGTTTAATTCTTTATATATTATCATATAATCAAAAACTTTTATTTTATTCGTCTTACGAATAAGTTTAACACGGTTTTCAGTTGCGGATGTTTGCCTTATTTATTATTATTCTCTTTTACCGGCTTAATTATATTTATAGAAATATGTGCTTTAAACTATAATAAATACGAATTAAATACATATCATAAAGGTGAGTTATTATATTTTTATTTATTAAAGTTTTAGAATTAACATTAGCAATGAATTCATTTAAAATATAATTAGTAAGGGCGCGAGTTATGACGGTATAAGATATTTTCATTGTTATTTTTTTTTACTATATAATACCGTAAAGAAATGTTTAAAAAATAACAATGAACACGTGTGAAATAGATTAAATTAATCTATTTCAATAAATGGATACGTAATTGAAACAATTATATTAATTATGTAAATTTCGTTCTTTGTTAATTAAATCATTTTCATCTTTTGAACCAAACGTTTTCAAATGATGAGCTAAGCAAATATTTTATTTCGAAAGTTTGTGTATTGTTAATTTATTAACGGAAAAAGTAATGTGAATATAAAATATAAATGCTGCCTGAGAATAAAACTGCCTCCCTTTTTTTTAANTCTTACGAATAAGTTTAACACGGTTTTCAGTTGCGGATGTTTGCCTTATTTATTATTATTCTCTTTTACCGGCTTAATTATATTTATAGAAATATGTGCTTTAAACTATAATAAATACGAATTAAATACATATCATAAAGAATTCCATTGTCCTTTAAATTATTTTAAGTACATCAATTCTACTCAGTGCATTTTAATTATAGAATTGTGTGATGGCATATTGAATTGCTTAGATGGAAGTGATGAACAAGACTTTTGTGAATCTGATATGTGTAGATCAAGCACATGCCGATATGGTTGTCAACCTAGTCCAAAGGGTCCATTGTGTTACTGTCCAGAAGGCTCAACTTACAACTTACAAACACACTGCCTTGATATTAAAATCCCATCCTCTTTTTTGCCTTATACTACCTACAAACCTTTTGCCATTAAGGGTGTTGAACTTCCAGTAGAAGGTACACATCCTAGTGAAATTATTTTGCCAATATATACAACTGAACAAATTTCAGCAGTTGCTTTTGATGTTAAAAAAAATAATTATAATAAATAGACAAAAGTCTTAATTTTGAGGATAATAACTGCTTAGTGATTAAGTTCCTTTTTTCATTTCAATCGTTTATATTACAACCTTCCTGTTAAATTTTATTGATTCCGTACACTTCTTGAATGCATGGTTAATAAGTAATGGTTATATGGTGTTCAACAGAAAATTTTTGCATATTATTAATTAACAGCTGTCATTATTTAACATAGATGTGTGATTTAATTATAACAGGTGTAGCCAAACTTTTATCCCTTAGGGGCTACTTTTTTGGTAAAATATAGTCTGCAGGTGACTATAAATATGGGCAAACAATTTTAGGATTTTTATATGCACATGTGTTAACATTCATTTGCATTATTCATCAGGATAAATACAAACAGTATGGGTACATTGCAAAGACAGTCTATTATTGTAAGAATAAATTATTGAATTAAGATTTTTAAACGTTAATTTAAGTGAAAGCAAATTGTTCAACTTTAGCTTCGCGGGCTACTTTCAAAACATTTGCGGTCGATCATGGTCTACGTGTTGGCCATCCCTGAATTATAACATTCAATTATAACAAACATAATCTCATGTTACTGCTAATATGAGATTGTATTCTTTATTTAAAAGCTTATTTTAAATTTATCTCTTCACATTTTGTTTGAACATCAAGTTGAAATGTCTTCAATTAAAAAGCATATCAGGCATATACTTTATGAGTTTCAGAAAGGATATAATGCCTTACAAACAATAAAAACAATTTATAATGCGTATAGGGAAGATGCTACTAAACTTCAAACATTTAAAAAAGTACCATTCAAAAAATTTTAAATTAAAGGATTCAAAACATACAGGGCACCCAAAGCTGTTGACAAAGAAAAGCTTACAGGGAGAAATTGCTAAAAATAGACAAATAACACACAATATATTGTATATAACCAAACACACCAAAATTAAAGTGATAAAAGCAAGTAAAACATATGAGTGTAACACAAGAGTGAAAGAGAATTTGGATGCACAGACAGATTGTGTTTATGTTTCAAGTGCATTTTTCACTGTGTGTGCAGTTTGAACTCTGAAGCATTCAAAGTATTTGGTACCACTGTAATATATTCAAAACAGAGCTATTGAGTATATTACCAAAAATTCCAAAAATCCCAAAAGAATAAAATTTTTTAGCCACATGGAATATCAAAGTTTGTACCTTGTAATCTCATAGAACACGACATTGTTTGAATAAGTAATTTAAATAGTAAATATATATTTTTAAAGGTATTTAGTATTATTAATTTGCTCTGTATTATTTTATTTAATAGTATTTTCTTTCATTTTACCTCCAATTATTCTTTTTTAAATTTTGAAGTATTATTTATGGCTACGTAATCTATGTATGTATAACTAATGTTATTTATATAAAAAGTTACTATAAATTGTGACACATGCAATTTATAATGTCATGAAGCAATGCAAAACATGAGAGCTCCACTCCTAAATGTTTTTGAGCCACCAAACATTCAGAGACAAGCTCCTTATAATTTATAAAGCTAATATTATTTACAAAAAATTGATATAAATTACAAGAAAATGTTAAGAAGGTCAAAGACACATGGAATGTTGGGTCATGTTGCCAAAAATAGTCAGTGGCAGTGTCCATAATATATTTATATAAAAATAACAATCAATTATATAAACTATACATTAAACTGAATAATTTATAGTAAATGTTGAAATAAATATAAAAATACTTACCTGATGTTTTAGAGAAAAATTATATAAGTCAGATATTGTATTGTAGTTATTATTTAAATGCATAGTGATACAATTAATAATATCAAGTGAGAGAACCTAATTTTAAACAAACAAATAATCATTATTTAGCATCAGTTACATTTCTTATAACAAAACTATATATTTTCATGAATTCATACACACCTTATATGCTTGCAAAATAGAAACTTGTCTTCTAAGCATTAAATCAATTATTGAATAAATATTTAAAATAAATTCTTTATCTTCATATTTAAATATGGCTGATAAACTCAAACGAAGATTATCAACTGATTTACCATTTAAATCTATACAATTATTTAACTGAAATAGATTAGTTATTATAATAATATTTTTTTCTGATAATAAATACATCCTACTGTAGGAACCGAGTAATGCTGGATAATTTTCTAGTTCTCCTAATAATAACTGCCCAACAGCTTTAAATGTAATATCTTGACTGCATAGACAGTTATCATTTTGGTCATCTAAAAAAATAATTTCTTCTAAGATATCTAATTGTCTATTTTCTATACTGTCTAATTGATTTAACTGATTTAAATCTCTCTTTTGATTTAATGAGCTAATATTACTATCATTTATATATGATTTTTCCACTGAATCTTCAATACCAGATTTGAATTCTTTATTTAATGTAGGATCTTTATGTGACACTTCAACATTTTCTTCTTTAATTTTATTAACAATTTCATTCGAAGAAACTACTTTTGGCTTCCATCTAACTAATATTTGTGGACCAATAGTGTTATTCCATGATGACAACAGAAAAGACTGGAGTGGATTATAATCTGCAAAAGTAAAATGCATATGAAAATCATAAAATACAAAAATTAAAAATATACATAAATACAAAACTTATATTTCATTAGATTCAAATTCAATTTCTATTTAGACAGGATATAATATAAATATATATATTATATCCTGTCTAAATAGCTGCAAAAGTTTTATATACATATAAAATTCTTGCAAATTTTAGTAAATTTTACTTTAAGAAATTATAGTAGTTTTCATTTGACTGTCTTGAAAGCAGAATCTAAATATATAAAATTACTTGTCCTGACTGACTGATTGATTCATCATCACCCAGAGCAAACCACTGAACCTAGAGTGGTGAAATTTGGTACACAGTTAGGGTACGTCATGAAAATGCACACTAAGAGAGGGATTTTTCGAAATTCCACTCCCCAACGGGGGGAGAGAAAAAAGATTAAGGGTTAACCTGAATAATGGCTTCTACTGTACTATTTTAGATGCAAGTTTTTGTTTTCAACTACATTTAGTCTTCATTGAATACTTAGGTGTATATTAAATTGATAACATTTCAGACATTGTTATAAATATTTTTATATATTTTGATTTTTTAACCAAATGTTCATACTGTTTTAAATTTGAATTTATTATTGCATATTGGTTCGATTATAGAATGATTGTAAATGTTCCAGAAAACTGATCAAATTGAAAACAGTTCATTTGATTCTCAGCCATTCTCATCATTCTCAGTGGTAGATAGTATATAACAATTACTATAGTTGTTGAAATACTGAATATAAATGGGGTTTGCTTGCAAAATCTGCTTGGGAGAAGTCATGGGTAACAGCTAGTCTATATATATAAAAATGAATGTGTGTGTGTGTGTGTGTGTGTGTGTCTGTCTGTCCTTCAAACATTACTTCATCGTTTATCCGATTGCCGTGAAACTTTGGGAAGTTGTTTAATACACTCCCGTGAAGGTTTCTGGCTAGTACATTTATCCTACAATAGATGGTGCGCATGTATATGAGCACTGTTTGTTCTGTGTGTTTGATCGATTTCAAATTGTGAAGACCATTTCCCCCATCCAAAAAATATCTCTATACTGTATATGCATTTGTTATTTACGATATTTGTAATAATTTTTGTTTAATCACTTTATTTCAACTTTTTTTTTTTTGCTAATTATATATTCGCTCAAACTTTGTTAAAACCTTAACTGTATCCCGAACAACAACCGAAGTTGTAGGAGGAAATTTGCCTATTTTACTGATCTAGGGATCCCCCTTTTCCAAATTTTAATATCGACTCAAAATAATTTAAAAAGACAAATTACAATAAAATGGTTTATTATCCAACTATCAGAAATTTCACAGCATGCCAAAAAAGAGAGGGAGGAGTAATTAAATAATCAAAATTATAAAGGATTACAAAATATATATAAAAATGGGGAATATCGCACTTCTGACAATCTCTGCGAGTATGTTGGCTAAATTTAAAGAATCCGTGCTTCTCACATGGACAACTATATGTGCTAACTCACGCATCGGAAAACCTTCTGATTTATTCGTGTACACACCAGATGGAAAAACAAAAAATATCGTGTATCCACAAGCACTCCAATAAATAAATAGAACTGAAACGACACTGAAATGTTTTCCCAATGAAAATGAATAATAATATAATAATAATAAGTTTCAATAGAAATGATAAAATGTAAATTTAATTTTATCATAACGAGTTTGCTTGAATTTTGTTTCTTCTGAGATTGCAGCAATGCGCGACGGGTAAGCTAGTATATTATATAAAAGCAAATAGTAATGTGTTAAACTTGTTAAAAACTGAATGTTCTTTTTACATTCTTTTGGTTATTATCTTTTTTTCTTATTGGTTACCATTGTATTTAAATTTATACATATTCTATTTATTCTTGAATGTTTATACATCTAATTCTGTTAATCTGCTTGGTTTTAACTGATGAAGATCCATTAATTCTGAATTGAAAACATTCTAAAAGTATTAAAATATCTGCTGAATTTCACAAGATGACATTTTTCTTTAACTTATATTATATTATACAATTAAATCACCATCACGGAAAATTTTTTGATTTATGAAATTACTTTATATTTTATATAAAACTAGCAGACCCTGCCACGTGTTGTTGTGGCTCAAAATGTATCTATTATAAATTTATAACACTTACCTCGTGGGGGGAATTTTGCGAAAAATTTCTTCTTAGTGTACATTCTCTTGACGTACCCTATTAAAACGCAATCAAAAACGCAAAAACCCGCATCTAAAATAGTATAATAGAAGCCAAGTTCTTCACGGTAAGCTTTAATCCTGTCTCTCTCTCCGCGGGGGAAATATCGAAAAATTTCTTTAGTGTACATTCTATTGACATACCCTATTAAAACGCAATCAAAAATGCAAAAAACCGCATCTAAAATAATATAAATAGAAGCAGAGTTCTTTACAGTAAGCCTTAATCCTAACCATCTCCCTTCAGTGGGGGGGAATTTCGACACGTATATTATATAAAAACACGCGTGTATTCGAATGCAGCGTTCTGTCAAAATTTCAAAGGAATCGGTAGGAACAAATGAACATTACATTTTTATTTATATAAATAGATAGGTGATGATTCGCTTTAGTTCATTTTCACAGAAAAACGTAATGCCTCACAGAAAAGCAAACTTAGGGCGTCATACTCGTAGCACTATCTGTTGGACATAAAAGCCTTAACCTAGATTATATCTTTTAATTTATATGAATGTTTAACGAATTAATATACAGCCTATGTATACCCTGAAGTTCCATTCTAAATATTGGTGAAAGAATTTTTGAAATCGGATGAGTAGTTTCGGAGATTACCTGCTGCATACAAACTTACATACATACATACATACAAACATTACCTCTTTATAATATTAGTATAAATTTAGATATTTTATTACAACTTGGAAATCAAAAATTAATTGTATCTTATTTAATGCTTTAAAGAATTATCTATCAGATTAAATAAATGCAAATTCTAAATACTGTAGTTAAACTTATTTACATACAGAAACAAACTCATATATACTGTTTTATCCTAATGTCAAGATAATTTATCATAAGTAAATGATTCTGATATTAGATCCTAAATTGATAAGTTGTTATTAGATATTAAATTCTAAATACTGTAGTTAAACTTATTTACATACAGAAACAAACTCATATATACTGTTTTATCCTAATGTCAAGATAATTTATCATAAGTAAATGATTCTGATATTAGATCCTAAATTGATAAGTTGTTATTAGATATTAAATTCTAAATACTGTAGTTAAACTTATTTACATACAGAAACAAACTCATATATACTGTTTTATCCTAATGTCAAGATAATTTATCATAAGTAAATGATTCTGATATTAGATCCTAAATTGATAAGTTGTTATTAGATATTAAATTGAAAGGATATAAATTATTCAGTTTATTTTCTTTCAGAGTTAAACCATATTCAAAATAAAATGAATGTCTAAAATCTTCCTATCAACAAATTCTAATCATATATGTTAAATATTTTTACAGCTTGATCTATTTAGAGTGATGTGATGACAGAATACAGTGGTACCTTAGGATATGAACGCCCCAGCATACGAAATTTTCAGGATACGACATGAAATTCGAACATATTTTTGCTCCACGATGCGAACAAAAACTCACCATACGTCGTTACATTAGTTTGCAGCGCCATTTTTTATTCACTTCAGTTCATTGGTCTCAGTCCGCATGTTTGTCTCATCGTGGAAGGATCTCGAAAAAGTCTCTCCAAACTCTTCACAAGTTTAATAAACTCTAGTCACATTCCAAATCAATGGGTAATCTCTAATATAAAGGTTCTCCCAAAAAGGATAATTCCTTTAGATCAATAACTATCCTATCAGCCATGTTAAAAATTTTCGAAATTTGCTTATACAGTGATGCCTCGTATAATGGACGCTGTGAATAATGAACTTTCTGTTTGGCCGTTACGTGACTCGAGCAACGGACTTTCTGTTTGGCCGTTACGTGACTCGAGCAACGGACTGGCTGTGGACAACAGACTTTCCGTTCGGCAGTTACGTGAGGCGACCAATGGACTTTCTACAAACAAGTGCGAATGATGTTTCCACTCTTTTGCCGTTGCCAATGACAATCTGCTATTTTTATAATATATTAGTATTATTAGAATATATTATCAGTATATCTGAAGTACAGAGCTCCCGTTGGGATTAGGCTTGCTCCCTTGTTTATTATGTACATCACCTCAGTGCAGGGTATTTACATTTATTCAAGTGTTGTGCAAATCATGGCTTCTAAAAAAAACAGAAAATTGATTTCAATTGAAACAATGCAAGAAATCATCAGAAGGAGTGAAAGTTGACAAAAACTTCCTTGTTGAATGGGAAGAGGTTCAAGAGTTTACCAACACTCATTATCCAAACAGAGCTGAGGCCAACAGTATCAATGATCTCTACAATGACACTCTTGCCCATCATTTCTGACAGGTGTTGAAGAAGAAAGAGAAACAGACCATCTTGGACATGTTTTTCAAGAAGTCAGCTTCCAAAAAACAAAGGATGGAACAAGAGGAATTGACCCTGCAAGCTCCGGTAACCTCTCCTAAATCTGAATCCAATTAAAAAACAAAAAAAAAAAAAGACCCACTGCAATGTGTAAAAAGTCTGTATCTGTATGAATGTGTGAAGAAAGTGTTCCTCCACCTCATCCTCACAACATCTGACTATCCGGCATAATTGGTGACTGCTCCATTTTCATTTTTTTGTTATGGTACAGTACGGTTATTTTATGCTGCGGAACAAATTATATGTTTTAACATGTATTTCTATGGAAAAATGCGTTTCATATAACAGACTTTTCACTTAACGGACGTGCACCTGGAACGGATTAAGTACGTTATACGAGGCACCACTGTATAACAAAATCTATACCAAAATTACATTCAGATTCTCCCCTCATCAACACTGTGGCATCCGTAACCTTTCTACTACTACTAACCTTCTTGAAACAACTTATACTATTTTGCAAAATTTTGAGAACAAAAAATCCACCTACATAATTTATATTGACATTTCCCAAGCCTTTGACTCTATCATTCCTAAATTACTACTTTAGACTCTAATTGATTATTTTGATTTAGATCTTGCTCTTTACTGTTGGTTAAACAATTACTATTTATCCAGACTATGTAAGATTCAAATTGGTGACTTTGATTTTTTTCCTTTCTCTCCTATCTGCGGCATACCTGAAGGATCTGTACTAAGCATGCTTTTTTTCTTAGCTTATATAGATAAATTACTAATCAACCCCCATTCTAAAGTAATTGCCTACGCCGATGACATCAAAATTTTATCCAATGATCCCTCCTCCCTCCAGATCACTGTCAATTCTTTACGTTCTAATCTTGCCAATTATAATCTAAAAATCAACATCCATAAAACTGTCATTATGTGTTTTTCTCTACTTCACAATCCCAACCACCCTTCCATATTTATTGATTCTTCTAAAATAAACTATGTCCAGTCTCATCGTGACCTTGGTATCATATTTGATGAAAAATTAATATTCCATGATCATATCTCTTACATTATTAAATCTCTTGCAATTAGACGTGGCTTTATCTGGC